ATCCACACAACATCATGGATACATGCCGGGTCCAAGCAAGAACATCTGCTGGACTACATAGTGACGGACCAGCGGATGCGAACCCATGTCCTTGACACCAGGACCTACCGTGGAGCTGATCTGTCCTCTGACCATCGACTAGTCATCTGTAAGATGCGCCTGCCTTTCTTCCACTCCGGTGGTGGGTGTACACCCAGGATCCCATTCCAACCAAAAGTGGCCTGGTCTCAGTTAGCTGATGAAAGTTGCAAGCGAGAATTTCATCATCGCTTGCAGCTGGGGTTGGCATCGTCCCCCACTCCACCTGATGTCGAGGGTAAATGGGCGAGGTTTAGGACTGTGACTCATGCAGCTGCAATGGCTGCTTTGGGTACGCGGTCCAGACCTCCCCAGAAACCCTGGCTGACAGAGGAGGTGTTCAGGTTAATTGAGAAAAAGCGACAGGCCCACTCTCATCGCCTACAGCATCCCACGTCAGAGAATGAGGAGGTTTACCGCAGCCTTCGCTCGGAAGTTCGGAGAGCCGTAAGGCGTTGTAAGGATGGGTGGTGGTCGCGGGTTGCTGAGGAGATGGAGTCTGCCTCAGTGGCCCGTGATCACAAATCACTATTTAACTCCATCAAAAAAGTAACCTGCAGCGCCACACCTATTACCATCATTAGAGGAAAAAACGGTGATCCAATCTCCGACCCCCAGGAACAGGTTTGCAGATTTGCTGAGCATTTCTGTGAGGTCCTGGGGGAGGGAAATTCTCTCAGCCAGGAAAACATCATGGCACAAAGTGGGGATAACCCTGCTGAGGCTGCGGTGCCTCAAATATTGGAAGAGGTCATCCCCTGTGAGTGGCTGGCTGAGGTTCCAGCTGTTGAGGAAGTACTGAGGGCGATCCGGAGTCTGAGACCAGGGAAGGCACCGGGCAGAGATGATCTCCCAAGCGAAATGCTGAGGGAGGGTGGCGTTTGTGCACAGACTGCCCTATATGACATCATAACAACAGTCTGGACCACTGGACGGGTTCCGCAGGACTGGAAGGATGCCCTGGTGGTCCCCCTCTTTAAGAAGGGGGACCGCACAGACTGTAACAACTACAGGGGCATCTCACTCCTCAGTGTGCCGGGTAAGGTCCTGGCAAGGATTATTCAACATCGCCTTGCTAGGCACGCTGAGGAGGGGCTTGCGGAGCCACAATGCGGTTTCAGGAAAGGGCGGTCCTGCACAGATGCCATATTTTCTGTCCGTCTGCTACAGCAGAGGTGTAGGGAATTCCAAAAAGACCTACATCTCTGCTTTATTGACCTGGTCAAGGCCTATGATACCATCAGTAGGACTGGACTCTGGGTTGTTCTTCGTGCTTTCGGAGTCCCTGACCCTCTGCTCACGATCATTAAGGACCTTCATGATGGTGAGCGGGCCCGGGTAAAACTACGTGGCCGGGAGTCGGAGCCTTTCCCTGTACACCTTGGGGTGCGACAGGGATGTCCTCTGGCTCCCACATTATTTAACATCTATTTTGACCGCGTAGTTCGTGAAGCCTTCAATAGCTGTACCGGGGGAATTTCCGTTTGGTACAGATATAATGGGAGGCTGATCGACGCCCGGGTGCGATCAAGGGATGGCTCCCTATTGGTCAACCACGTTATGTATGCCGATGATTTGGTAATAGCTGCTCATTCAGAAGAGGAGTTGGAGGCGCTGCTGCTGAGACTGGAGCGTGCCACTAAGAGGTGGGGCCTTACCATCAGCCCCACCAAAACCAAGCACCTGCCTGGGTATTTTGTACCATCGGACACTCCACCCCCACAACTCCCAATTGGTGATGGGGCAGTTGTGGAGAGAGTGGAGAGTTTCCCATACCTGGGCAGTGTGCTTATGACCGGCTCCAGTCTATCAGCAGAGGTCTCACTCCGAATCAGTCGAGCGGCAATATCTTTTCATCGGTTGCGTAACGCTGTGTGGAAGCTACCTGGTCTGTCGCTCCGCACGAAGCTTCAGGTCTTCTCGGCCACGGTCATTCCCTCCCTTCTCTACGCTTGCGAGACGTGGACCCCCCTGGTGGAGCATCTTCGCCGGTTGGAAACATTTAGGCTGGCCTGCCTACGATCCATCCTGGGTTTAACCAGGCTGGATTGTGTGAGGAGCTCACAAATCCTTGAAAGATCTGGGCAAAGTCCCATCAGTGAGCTCCTCCGGCAGGCAAGGCTGCGTTGGCTGGGTCATGTAGCCCGCATGCCCAGCCACCGCATGCCTAAACAGCTTTTGTTCGGCCGGATCGAGGGGGCTAGACGGGCGCGGCACGGGCTGGAGAAGAGATGGAGTGATGTGGTACAGGAGGACGTGGAGCTGAGTGGACTTGCCGATGACTGGTACCAGCGGTGTCAAGATCGGCCTCAGTGGAGGAGGCTCGTGAAGGACGCTACTGGGCAGTTGGAGGCAGTCGCCCTCCAACAACAACGGAGGGCGGAGGAGCGACGCTCACAACAACGAGCGGAGCGCCGGGTGGCTAAAGCACAGCAAGTTGGCACAGTAGGGGGCACAGGTGGTGCATCAGCCAGTCATCTCGGTCATCTCGGTCAGTCGACCAGTGGCACCTGGGTCTGCCCCGTGACCTCCTGCCAGCGGGCTTTCGACACTTCACGTGGCCTCAAGGTGCACTTGGCCTGGCACAAGCATCGTGGTGACGTCACCGCCACTTAGTGGCGAATGGCGGTTGTTGTTGTTGTTGTGATTGTGTGTGATTGTGTGTGTGTGTGATTGTGTGTGTGATTGTGTGTGTGTGATTGTGTGTCATTGTGTGTGATTGTGTGATTGTGTGTGATTGTGTGTGTGTGATTGTGTGTGTGATTGTGTGTGTGATTGTGTGTGATTGTGTGTGTGTGTGATTGTGTGTGTGATTGTGTGTGTGATTGTGTGTGATTGTGTGTGTGTGATTGTGTGTGATTGTGTGTGATTGTGTGTGTGTGTGATTGTGTGTGTGTGATTGTGTGTGTGATTGTGTGTGATTGTGTGTGTGATTGTGTGTGATTGTGTGTGTGTGATTGTGTGTGTGATTGTGTGTGTGTGATTGTGTGTGTGTGTGATTGTGTGTGTGTGTGATTGTGTGTGTGTGATTGTGTGTGATTGTGTGTGATTGTGTGTGTGTGATTGTGTGTGTGATTGTGTGTGATTGTGTGTGATTGTGTGTGTGATTGTGTGATTGTGTGTGATTGTGTGATTGTGTGTGTGATTGTGTGATTGTGTGTGATTATGTGTGTGTGATTGTGTGTGATTGTGTGTGTGATTGCGTGTGTGTGATTGTGTGTGATTGTGTGTGTGTGATTGTGTGTGTGATTGTGTTCGTGATTGTGTGTGTGATTGTGTGTGTGATTGATTGTGTGATTGTATGTGTGTGATTGTGTGTGTGATTGTGTGTGTGATTGCGTGTGTGTGATTGTGTGTGTGATTGTGTGTGTGTGAGTGCGTGTGTGTGATTGTGTGTGTCTGATTGTATGTGTGTGTGTGATTGTGTGATTGTATGTGTGTGATTGTGTGTGTGTGATTGTGTGTGTGATCTTCTCCGGTTGGAAACATTCAGGCTGGCCTGCCTACGATCCATTCTGGGTTTAACCAGGCTGGATTGTGTGAGGAGCTCACAAATCCTTGAAAGATCTGGGCAAAGTCCCATCGGTGAGCTCCTCCGGCAGGCAAGGTTGCATTTGCTGGGTCATGTAGCCCGCATGCCCAGCCACCGCATGCCTAAACAGCTTTTGTTCGGCCGGATCGAGGGGGCTAAACGGGCACGGCACGGGCTAGAGAAGAGATGGAGTGATGTGGTACAGGAGGACGTGGGGATGAGTGGACTTGCCGATGACTGGTACCAGCGGTGTCAAGATCGGCCTCTGTGGAGGAGGCTCGTGAAGGACGCTACTGGGCAGTTGGAGGCAGTCGCCCTCCAACAACAACGGAGGGCGGAGGAGCGACGCTCACAACAACGAGCGGAGCGCCGGGTGGCTAAAGCACAGCAAGTTGGTACAGTAGGGGGCACAGGTGGTGCATCAGCCAGTCATCTCGGTCATATCGGTCAGTCGACCCGTGGTACCTGCTGGGTCTGCCCCGTGACCTCCTGCCAGCGGGCGTTCGACACTTCACGTGGCCTCAAGGTGCACTTGGCCTGGCACAAGCGTCGTGGTGACGTCACCGCCACTTAGTGGTGAATGGCGGTTGTTGTTGTTGTTGTGTGTGATTGTGTGTGTGTGATTGTGTAGGTGCTCGCTACAGCACTTGCCCCTCCAGCCTGTTGCAGGCTATACAGGGGATCTTTGTAAGTGTGTGTATGTGCGCGTATGTGTTTGTGTGTTTGTGGAGCGGTCGTGTAGTGGTGAGCGCTACGCCAGTCACGATTATTTGAACCGGTCCGCTAGGTCGACTCAGCCGTAAATGAGCACCTGGTGCGCGCGTGTAAAACATCGCCACTCGGGAGACAAAGGCGGCCGGGCGGGGCCCTGGCCACCCACCCCCCCTTGTCCATAGGTGCTCGTTGCCAGCACCTGCCACAACAGGCTGTCATGGTTATACGGGCATCTTTATCATTGTGGTGAGTGCCCGCGTGTGTGTGCGTGTGTGTGTGCGTGTGTGTGCGTGCGTGTGTGTGCGCGTGTGTCTACGTGTTTGCGTGTTTGCGTGCGTGTGTGCGTGTGTGTGTGCGTGTGTGTGCGTGTGTGTGTGCGTGTGTCTACGTGTGTGCGTGCGTGTGTGCGTGTGTGTGCGTGTGTGTGTGTGTCTGTGCGTGTGTGTGCCACACTGCCCTGGGGAATATGGCAGGTCGCCGTCAAAGTTCCTTCGTTTATAGACGTCTCCGCGCGCCCCCCGTGTCTGCCCCCCCCCCCCGGTGCCTCTGAGTCACCGCATTCAAAGCGACTCCGAGTTCACCATCGGCAGCATCAGTCGCTCGTGCCGGCAGCGTCTCGAGCAGCGAGCGGCAACCACGCGCCCTGTATTTCTTGTTGAGATAACAACAATCATCATCATCGCTACATCATCATTATTGCTGCATGATCATCATTTTCATCATCGCTTCATCATCACCGCTGCATGATCATTATCATCATCGCTGCATGATCATCATCATCATCATCGCTGCATCGTCATCATCATCACTGCATCATGATCACCATCGTTGCATGATCACCATCGCATTGAGGAACTGAGCGTCAGCGAAAGGCACCGTGGAGATGGAGCCGAGGAATCGCCCTGAACCTGACGACGTCGAGACGACTCGCGCTGCAGGTACTGGCGCCGTGACGCTAAACGATCCTCCCCCGGCACTCCGGCGAGCGGCGACATCACGCCGCCCGCACCTCTCGCTTGCAAGGAATCGCTTGCCCGCCGCGTCTGAATGTATCAGGCTGGGCACATGGCAGGGCACGGTCGGCGCGCGCTGCGCTCTGCGTCACGCTCCGTGCGCACATTGTCAGGGAGATCACATTGTCAGGGAGATCACATTGTCAGGGAGATCACATTGTCAGGGAGATCACATTGTCAGGGAGATCACATTGTCAGGGAGATCACATTGTCAGGGAGATCGCATTGTCAGGGAGATCGCATTGTCAGGGAGATCGCATTGTCAGGGAGATCACATTGTCAGGGAGATCGCATTGTCAGGGAGATCACATTGTCAGGGAGATCACATTGTCAGGGAGATCGCATTGTCAGGGAGATCACATTGTCAGGGAGATCACATTGTCAGGGAGATCACATTGTCAGGGAGATCACATTGTCAGGGAGATCACATTGTCAGGGAGATCACATTGTCAGGGAGATCGCATTGTCAGGGAGATCACATTGTCAGGGAGATCGCATTGTCAGGGAGATCACATTGTCAGGGAGATCGCATTGTCAGGGAGATCACATTGTCAGGGAGATCACATTGTCAGGGAGATCACATTGTCAGGGAGATCACATTGTCAGGGAGATCACATTGTCAGGGAGATCGCATTGTCAGGGAGATCACATTGTCAGGGAGATCGCATTGTCAGGGAGATCACATTGTCAGGGAGATCACATTGTCAGGGAGATCGCATTGTCAGGGAGATCACATTGTCAGGGAGATCGCACATTGTCAGGGAGATCACATTGTCAGGGAGATCGGACACCGTCAAAGGAGTTGTGGATTTTTTTATTTAAAGTTTTCGTGACTGCAGGGATTCATCTTCTTGGTTCTTTCATTCAGACGCTGTCTTTCCGACAGACCTGTTCTTCACCTGAGGACGGCTGCTTGCGTTGTGGCCGAAACGTCGTGAGAATTGTATTTTATTGTGTTTTATTTTTATTATTTTATTATTTCCCTTCTACGTGACTTTACCGAAAGAACCAAGAAGAGTTGTGGAATGTCCACTCACGGCCAGACGGAGATTGGCATCGCTCCAAGTTGCGACGTCACAGCTCTTGTCAATCCACTGCTGGATGGGATATTCAGCCATACTTCACCACGCCGGTCCTCGAGATTTGCTGGAGGCGGGCAGCGTAGACGCAGGTGATGTTTCTATTTTATTTTATGGAGGAGCTCAGCCGCTTGTGCTGCTCGCCACGTCCGCCCCCGGAGCCTGACGACGGCTGCTCTTACTCAAGCTGCTCGCCCAGCCGAGCACCATCCAGACTCGAGGCCGCTTAGCTTCGGAGATCGGCGACGGCGTCTGCCCGACACGTGGCGCGCGAGGTGCCGTCTCACGGTGTCCACATGCTGCCGGCAAACATGTCCCCCCCCTCTCATCTCCCTTGCAGCAGACACGACGGACGAATTCCTCCAGCGCTTCGGACTGCGCCTGCAAGGTGAGCTTGCGCCCGCTTAACGCGACACCACAACCGTCGGCCGTGGTCCATCCACTGCTGGGTGAAAGCCGGGTGACTGCTCCTCGCCGTCCGTCGCTCACGGCCCAGAGCCGCCGCCAACCATCTCCCTCGCTGGCTGTGCGCAGATTCGGATTTACTTATGACTGGGGGAGATCAGCGCTTTGTTTACAGATGTCCAGTAGGGGCACGGGGTAAGCAGGTTACAACAACAACAGGCACGCGATAGGGGTGCAAAGTACAAGAGAGGTAAACAGATCACCCAACACACAAATACAACACTGAACCATCACCACACTGAGCCCACATCGTCACTACATCCCCCGCGGTGCTCCTCCCGCTGGACGCGTCCCCCCCTCCTTGGGCTGCCATTCCATCGCCGCTCTCGTGCCGTCGGTCGCAGCGGTGGCACTCGCGCCTCGCAGCTCGAAGCGCCTGGGTGAGATTCCCGACTCGATCGCCTCTCAGTTTGCACACTCTCCCGCTTGGTGTGCGCTTGGGTTGACCTCCGCGTTCTCGCCTCAACAAATGAAATCTTAACGCTGTCATTGGGCAAAACGGCATCGCAAGTGCTGAAAATATCACCTGCGAATCACTCATCTGGGTAACACACACACATACAGCAGCAGCAGCAACATCGCTGCTGCCACGCCACTCGATGTGCATCCGTGACTCGCGCTTTGTGAGGAGCGGTGGTGCAATGGTTAGCGCAGTGCGCTAGGATCGAGGAAAAACCTTGAGTGCGATTCGAGGCCACGGCTAAGACGAGAGGCGAGCGAGGAATGAACCGGTTCTGACTACCCTCCCCCTACTCCACCGACATTAACCAACCCGCACTGACTGGCGTGGTGAAGTATGGTCAAACAACACCCACGACCGGCACGGCGTAGGAAGGCATTCAGCCAAGAATGTTGGGCAAAACGCTGCGCTTGATGACAGCATTTTTACACTCACAGCGCGGACATTTCAGGGACTACACCAGTCAGTTGACTACCTGGTGTCTCACCCCGTGAGTCACTAAGTCACCTGACCACCTGGTGTCTCACCCCGTGAGTCACTAAGTCAGCTGACTACCTGGTGTCTCACCCCGTGAGTCACTAAGTCACCTGACTACCTGGTGTCTCACCCCGTGAGTCACTAAGTCAGCTGACTACCTGGTGTCTCACCCCGTGAGTCACTAAGTCACCTGACTACCTGGTGTCTCACCCCGTGAGTCACTAAGTCAGCTGACTACCTGGTGTCTCACCCCGTGAGTCACTAAGTCAGCTGACTACCTGGTGTCTCACCCCGTGAGTCACTAAGTCACCTGACTACCTGGTGTCTCATCCCGTGAGTCACTAAGTCAGCTGACTACCTGGTGTCTCACCCCGTGAGTCACTAAGTCACCTGACTACCTGGTGTCTCATCCCGTGAGTCACTAAGTCAGCTGACTACCTGGTGTCTCACCCCGTGAGTCACTAAGTCACCTGACTACCTGGTGTCTCAACCCGTGAGTCACTAAGTCAGCTGACTACCTGGTGTCTCACCCCGTGACGTCACTAAGTCAGCTGACTACCTGGTGTCTCACCCCGTGAGTCACTAAGTCACCTGACTACCTGGTGTCTCACCCCGTGTGTCACTAAGTCACCTGACTACCTGGTGTCTCACCCCGTGAGTCACTAAGTCACCTGACTACCTGGTGTCTCACCCAGTGAGTCACTAAGTCACCTGACTACCTGGTGTCTCACCCCGTGAGTCACTAAGTCACCTGACTACCTGGTGTCTCACCCCGTGAGTCACTAAGTCACCTGACTACCTGGTGTCTCACCCCGTGAGTGACTGAGTCAGCTGACTACCTGGTGTCTCACCTCGTGATGTCACTAAGTAACCTGACTACCTGGTGTCTCACCCCGTGAGTCACTAAGTCAGCTGACTACCTGGTGTCTCACCCCGTGAGTCACTAAGTCAGCTGACTACCTGGTGTCTCACCCCGTGTGTCATTAAGTCACCTGACTACCTGGTGTCTCACCCCGTGTGTCATTAAGTCACCTGACTACCTGGTGTCTCACCCCGTGTGTCACTAAGTCACCTGACCACCTGGTGTCTCACCCCGTGTGTCATTAAGTCACCTGACTACCTGGTGTCTCAACCCGTGAGTCACTAAGTCAGCTGACTACCTGGTGTCTCACCCCGTGACGTCACTAAGTCAGCTGACTACCTGGTGTCTCACCTCGTGATGTCACTAAGTCAGCTGACTACCTGGTGTCTCACCCCGTGAGTCACTAAGTCACCTGACTACCTAGTGTCTCACCCCGTGTGTCACTAAGTCACCTGACTACCTGGTGTCTCACCCCGTGAGTCACTAAGTCACCTGACTACCTGGTGTCTCACCCCGTGAGTCACTAAGTCACCTGACTACCTGGTGTCTCACCCCGTGAGTCACTAAGTCACCTGACTACCTGGTGTCTCACCCCGTGAGTCACTAAGTCACCTGACTACCTGGTGTCTCACCCCGTGAGTGACTGAGTCAGCTGACTACCTGGTGTCTCACCTCGTGATGTCACTAAGTAACCTGACTACCTGGTGTCTCACCCCGTGAGTCACTAAGTCAGCTGACTACCTGGTGTCTCACCCCGTGAGTCACTAAGTCAGCTGACTACCTGGTGTCTCACCCCGTGTGTCATTAAGTCACCTGCCTACCTGGTGTCTCACCCCGTGTGTCATTAAGTCACCTGACTACCTGGTGGTCACCCCATGTGTCACTAAGTCACCTGACCACCTGGTGTCTCACCCCGTGTGTCATTAAGTCACCTGACTACCTGGTGTCTCACCCCGTGTGTCACTAAGTCAGCTGACTACCTGGTGTCTCACCCCGTGAGTCACTAAGTCACCTGACCACCTGGTGTCTCACCCCGTGTGTCATTAAGTCAGCTGACTACCTGGTGTCTCACCCCGTGAGTCACTAAGTCACCTGACTACCTGGTGTCTCATCCCGTGAGTCACTAAGTCAGCTGACTACCTGGTGTCTCAACCCGTGAGTCACTAAGTCAGCTGACTACCTGGTGTCTCACCCCGTGACGTCACCAAGTCAGCTGACTACCTGGTGTCTCACCTCGTGATGTCACTAAGTCAGCTGACTACCTGGTGTCTCACCCCATGAGTCACTAAGTCACCTGACTACCTGGTGTCTCACCCCGTGTGTCACTAAGTCACCTGACTACCTGGTGTCTCACCCCGTGAGTCACTGAGTCATCTGACTACCTGGTGTCTCACCCCGTGAGTCACTAAGTCACCTGACTACCTGGTGTCTCACCCCGTGTGTCATTAAGTCACCTGACTACCTGGTGTCTCACCCCGTGAGTCACTAAGTCATCTGACTACCTGGTGTCTCACCCCGTGAGTGACTGAGTCCAGCTGACTACCTGGTGTCTCACCTCGTGATGTCACTAGTAACCTGACTACCTGGTGTCTCACCCCGTGAGTCACTAAGTCAGCTGACTACCTGGTGTCTCACCCCGGAGTCACTAAGTCAGCTGACTACCTGGTGTCTCACCCCGTGTGTCATTAAGTCACCTGACTACCTGGTGTCTCACCCCGTGTGTCATTAAGTCACCTGACTACCTGGTGTCTCACCTCGTGATGTCACTAAGTAACCTGACTACCTGGTGTCTCACCCCGTGAGTCACTAAGTCAGCTGACTACCTGGTGTCTCACCCCGTGAGTCACTAAGTCACCTGACTACCTGGTGTCTCACCCCGTGAGTCACTAAGTCAGCTGACTACCTGGTGTCTCACCCCGTGAGTCACTAAGTCACCTGACTACCTGGTGTCTCACCCCGTGAGTCACTAAGTCAGCTGACTACCTGGTGTCTCACCCCGTGAGTCACTAAGTCAGCTGACTACCTGGTGTCTCACCCCGTGAGTCACTAGTCACCTGACTACCTGGTGTCTCATCCCGTGAGTCACTAAGTCAGCTGACTACCTGGTGTCTCACCCCGTGAGTCACTAAGTCACCTGACTACCTGGTGTCCTCATCCCGTGAGTCACTAAGTCAGCTGACTACCTGGTGTCTCACCCCGTGAGTCACTAAGTCACCTGACTACCTGGTGTCTCAACCCGTGAGTCACTAAGTCAGCTGACTACCTGTTGTCTCACCCCGTGACGTCACTAAGTCAGCTGACTACCTGGTGTCTCACCCCGTGAGTCACTAAGTCACCTGACTACCTGGTGTCTCACCCCGTGTGTCACTAAGTCACCTGACTACCTGGTGTCTCACCCCGTGAGTCACTAAGTCACCTGACTACCTGGTGTCTCACCCAGTGAGTCACTAAGTCACCTGACTACCTGGTGTCTCACCCGTGAGTCACTAAGTCACCTGACTACCTGGTGTCTCACCCCGTGAGTCACTAAGTCACCTGACTACCTGGTGTCTCACCCCGTGAGTGACTGAGTCAGCTGACTACCTGGTGTCTCACCTCGTGATGTCACTAAGTAACCTGACTACCTGGTGTCTCACCCCGTGAGTCACTAAGTCAGCTGACTACCTGGTGTCTCACCCCGTGAGTCACTAAGTCAGCTGACTACCTGGTGTCTCACCCCGTGTGTCATTAAGTCACCTGACTACCTGGTGTCTCACCCCGTGTGTCATTAAGTCACCTGACTACCTGGTGTCTCACCCCGTGTGTCACTAAGTCACCTGACCACCTGGTGTCTCACCCCGTGTGTCATTAAGTCACCTGACTACCTGGTGTCTCAACCCGTGAGTCACTAAGTCAGCTGACTACCTGGTGTCTCACCCCGTGACGTCACTAAGTCAGCTGACTACCTGGTGTCTCACCTCGTGATGTCACTAAGTCAGCTGACTACCTGGTGTCTCACCCCGTGAGTCACTAAGTCACCTGACTACCTAGTGTCTCACCCCGTGTGTCACTAAGTCACCTGACTACCTGGTGTCTCACCCCGTGAGTCACTAAGTCACCTGACTACCTGGTGTCTCACCCCGTGAGTCACTAAGTCACCTGACTACCTGGTGTCTCACCCCGTGAGTCACTAAGTCACCTGACTACCTGGTGTCTCACCCCGTGAGTCACTAAGTCACCTGACTACCTGGTGTCTCACCCCGTGAGTGACTGAGTCAGCTGACTACCTGGTGTCTCACCTCGTGATGTCACTAAGTAACCTGACTACCTGGTGTCTCACCCCGTGAGTCACTAAGTCAGCTGACCACCTGGTGTCTCACCCCGTGAGTCACTAAGTCAGCTGACTACCTGGTGTCTCACCCCGTGTGTCATTAAGTCACCTGACTACCTGGTGTCTCACCCCGTGTGTCATTAAGTCACCTGACTACCTGGTGTCTCACCCCGTGTGTCACTAAGTCACCTGACCACCTGGTGTCTCACCCGTGTGTCATTAAGTCACCTGACTACCTGGTGTCTCACCCCGTGTGTCACTAAGTCAGCTGACTACCTGGTGTCTCACCCCGTGAGTCACTAAGTCACCTGACCACCTGGTGTCTCACCCCGTGTGTCATTAAGTCAGCTGACTACCTGGTGTCTCACCCCGTGAGTCACTAAGTCACCTGACTACCTGGTGTCTCATCCCGTGAGTCACTAAGTCAGCTGACTACCTGGTGTCTCAACCCGTGAGTCACTAAGTCAGCTGACTACCTGGTGTCTCACCCCGTGACGTCACCAAGTCAGCTGACTACCTGGTGTCTCACCTCGTGATGTCACTAAGTCAGCTGACTACCTGGTGTCTCACCCCGTGAGTCACTAAGTCACCTGACTACCTGGTGTCTCACCCCGTGTGTCACTAAGTCACCTGACTACCTGGTGTCTCACCCCGTGAGTCACTGAGTCATCTGACTACCTGGTGTCTCACCCCGTGAGTCACTAAGTCACCTGACTACCTGGTGTCTCACCCCGTGAGTGACTGAGTCAGCTGACTATCTGGTGTCTCACCTCGTGATGTCACTAAGTAACCTGACTACCTGGTGTCTCACCCCGTGAGTCACTAAGTCAGCTGACTACCTGGTGTCTCACCCCGTGAGTCACTAAGTCAGCTGACTACCTGGTGTCTCACCCCGTGTGTCATTAAGTCACCTGACTACCTGGTGTCTCACCCCGTGTGTCATTAAGTCACCTGACTACCTGGTGTCTCACCCCGTGTGTCACTAAGTCACCTGACCACCTAGTGTCTCACCCCGTGTGTCATTAAGTCACCTGACTACCTGGTGTCTCACCCCGTGTGTCACTAAGTCAGCTGACTACCTGGTGTCTCACCCCGTGAGTCACTAAGTCACCTGACCACCTGGTGTCTCACCCCGTGTGTCATTAAGTCACCTGACTACCTGGTGTCTCACCCCGTGTGTCACTAAGTCAGCTGACTACCTGGTGTCTCACCCAGTGTGTCACTAAGTCACCTGACCACCTGGTGTCTCACCCCGTGTGTCATTAAGTCACCTGACCACCTGGTGTCTCACCCCGTGAGTCACTAAGTCAGCTGACTACCTGGTGTCTCACCTCGTGATGTCACTAAGTCACCTGACTACCTGGTGTCTCACCTCGTGATGTTACTAAGTCGCCTGACTACCTGGTGTCTCACCCCGTGTGTCACTAAGTCAGCTGACTACCTGGTGTCTCACCCCGTATGTCACTAAGTCACCTGACTACCTGGTGTCTCACCCCGTGAGTCACTAAGTCAGCTGACTACCTGGTGTCTCACCCCGTGAGTCACTAAGTCAGCTGACTACCTGGTGTCTCACCCCGTGACGTCACTAAGTCACCTGACTACCTGGTGTCTCACCTCGTGATGTTACTAAGTCACCTGACTACCTGGTGTCTCACCCCGTGTGTCACTAAGTCAGCTGACCACCTGGTGTCTCACCCCGTGTGTCACTAAGTCACCTGACTACCTGGTGTCTCACCCCGTGTGTCACTAAGTCAGCTGACTACCTGGTGTCTCACCCCGTGAGTCACTAAGTCACCTGACCACCTGGTGTCTCACCCCGTGTGTCACTAAGTCACCTGACTACCTGGTGTCTCACCCCGTGAGTCACTAAGTCAGCTGACTACCTGGTGTCTCACCCCGTGACGTCACTAAGTCACCTGACTACCTGGTGTCTCACCTCGTGAGTCACTAAGTCACCTGACTACCTGGTGTCTCACCCCGTGAGTCACTAAGTCAGCTGACTACCTGGTGTCTCACCTCGTGATGTTACTAAGTCACCTGACTACCTGGTGTCTCACCCCGTGTGTCACTAAGTCAGCTGACCACCTGGTGTCTCACCCCGTGTGTCACTAAGTCACCTGACTACCTGGTGTCTCACCCCGTGTGTCACTAAGTCAGCTGACTACCTGGTGTCTCACCCCGTGAGTCACTAAGTCACCTGACCACCTGGTGTATCTCCCCGTGTGTCACTAAGTCACCTGACTACCTGGTGTCTCACCCCGTGAGTCACTAAGTCAGCTGACTACCTGGTGTCTCACCCCGTGACGTCACTAAGTCACCTGACTACCTGGTGTCTCACCTCGTGATGTTACTAAGTCACCTGACTACCTGGTGTCTCACCCCGTATGTCACTAAGTCACCTGACTACCTGGTGTCTCACCCCGTGAGTCACTAAGTCAGCTGACTACCTGGTGTCTCACCCCGTGAGTCACTAAGTCAGCTGACTACCTGGTGTCTCACCCCGTGACGTCACTAAGTCACCTGACTACCTGGTGTCTCACCTCGTGATGTTACTAAGTCACCTGACTACCTGGTGTCTCACCCCGTGTGTCACTAAGTCAGCTGACCACCTGGTGTCTCACCCCGTGTGTCACTAAGTCACCTGACTACCTGGTGTCTCACCCCGTGTGTCACTAAGTCAGCTGACTACCTGGTGTCTCACCCCGTGAGTCACTAAGTCACCTGACCACCTGGTGTCTCACCCCGTGTGTCACTAAGTCACCTGACTACCTGGTGTCTCACCCCGTGAGTCACTAAGTCAGCTGACTACCTGGTGTCTCACCCCGTGACGTCACTAAGTCACCTGACTACCTGGTGTCTCACCTCGTGAGTCACTAAGTCACCTGACTACCTGGTGTCTCACCCCGTGAGTCACTAAGTCAGCTGACTACCTGGTGTCTCACCTCGTGATGTTACTAAGTCACCTGACTACCTGGTGTCTCACCCCGTGTGTCACTAAGTCAGCTGACCACCTGGTGTCTCACCCCGTGTGTCACTAAGTCACCTGACTACCTGGTGTCTCACCCCGTGTGTCACTAAGTCAGCTGACTACCTGGTGTCTCACCCCGTGAGTCACTAAGTCACCTGACCACCTGGTGTCTCACCCCGTGTGTCACTAAGTCACCTGACTACCTGGTGTCTCACCCCGTGAGTCACTAAGTCAGCTGACTACCTGGTGTCTCACCCCGTGACGTCACTAAGTCACCTGACTACCTGGTGTCTCACCTCGTGATGTTACTAAGTCACCTGACTACCTGGTGTCTCACCCCGTGTGTCACTAAGTCAGCTGACCACCTGGTGTCTCACCCCGTGTGTCACTAAGTCACCTGACTACCTGGTGTCTCACCCCGTGTGTCACTAAGTCAGCAGACTACCTGGTGTCTCACCCCGTGAGTCACTAAGTCACCTGACCACCTGGTGTCTCACCCCGTGTGTCACTAAGTCACCTGACTACCTGGTGTCTCACCCCGTGTGTCACTAAGTCAGCTGACTACCTGGTGTCTCACCCAGTGTGTCACTAAGTCACCTGACCACCTGGTGTCTCACCCCGTGAGTCACTAAGTCACCTGACTACCTGGTGTCTCACCCCGTGACGTCACTAAGTCACCTGACTACCTGGTGTCTCACCGCGTGTCGCCCCACGCAGCGCGCAGACCCAGCCACGTGGCGCTGATGGCGACCGCGGGGTCCAAGCGCGACTCGCGACGATACGCAGGCGACGACGACGAGGAGGAGGAGGTGGAGGAGGAGGAGGTGGTGGAGGGGGAGGAGGAGGTGGAGGAGGAGGGGGAGGAGTGGTCCAGCCACGATCGGCACCGCGCGTCGAGCCGTGACGCGGACGAGGAGGAGGCGATCCCGCAGCGCCAGCAGGCGGCGCCCAAGCCGCGTGTGGAGAGCGACCGTGAAGAGGAGAGCCCCAGCACCATCACCACCACCATCAGCCCCACCACCATCACCACCACCATCACCACCAGCAGCAGCAGGAGCAGCAGCAGCAGGAGCAGCAGCAGGGGCTGGAGCAGGACGCGAGCGCGCAGCGACACGCCGAGCCTGGCCGAGCTCCGCTCCGCGCTCAAGCTGGACGCGCAGACCGCCGGTAACACGACGACGACGCTGCTGCTGCTGTCCTGCTTGCTGTGCTGTCCTGCTTGCTGTGCTGCTTGCTGTGATGTCCTGCTTGCTGTCCTGCTTGCTGCGCTGTGCTGCTTGCTGGGCTGTCCTGCTTGCTGGGCTGTCCTGCTTGCTGCGCTGTCCTGCTTCCTGCGCTGTCCTGCTTGCTGGGCTGTCCTGCTTGCTGTGCTGTCCGCGGTGTTCAGCTGCCCTCCCTGTCAGCTCTGTGCTGCTGCTGCTGCTGTCTGACAGCCCCGCCTCTCCGTGCGCTCCGTGCAGCGCGGGCGGTGATGGCGGTGATGGTGATGATGGGAGCGCCGCTAGCTCGTGTCTGTCTGTGTGCCACCGCGTGCGTGTGCAGACCTGTGTGTGTGTGTGTGTAGACCCGCGTGTGTGTGTAGACCCGTGTGTGTGCATCCTCCTGTGTGTGTAGACCTGTGTGTGTGTATGTATGCGTCCGTGTGCGTGTCTGTGCGGATCCTCCTGTGTGTGTGAATCCGCGTGTGTGTGAATCCGCGTGTGTGTGCAGACCTGTGTGTGTAGACCTGTGTGTGTGCATCCTCCTGTGTGTGTGCAGACCTGTGCGTGTGTAGACCTGTGTGTGTGCATCCTCTTGTGTGTTTGCAGACCTGTGTGTGTGTCTATATGTATGTGTCCGTGTGCGTGTCTGTGCGGATCCTCCTGTGTGTATACCTGTGTGTGTGTATACATGTGTGTGTGTATACCTGTGTGTGTGTGTATACCCGTGTGTGTGTGTATACCCGTGTGTGTATTCTCGCGTGTGTTGTTCGTAGTACCGTGTAGGATTCTCAATGGGGGTGCTCGTGTGCTGAACGCATGCACACTGCGATGTTGCTGTTCTTGCTGTTGTTAACGTGAGTGCGGGTTATTGCGAATAACGGGATGCATCATGGGGTGGGGGCGGTGTCATTTCACGATTTCATTCGAGGGCCCATGCCAGCCGCGCTGCCCGATGCCGTGCCCCACATGCCCTGACGTGGGTCGCTGTGTCGGGGGGTGCGCTCCAGTACGAACCTCGAGCGGTTAACAATTCTCTGTGCGCGTGTGTGGGGGGGGGGGGGTAACGATGAGAGGAAACCGATGCACACAGGGGGAGAGAACTAACTGCCCAGGTGTCAACTATCTCGCCAGATATGCAGGAGATCGGGGGTTTGATCTCGACCCCGACGATAGCTGCTGTATATTTGGAGTTTACGATGTCGCGCTCTCGCTCTCTCTCTCGTCGATTTTCCTCCTCCACGTTCAGCTCGAGCAGACACTTCGTTGAGCTGTCATTCGCTTTTGAGAAACAGCTACGCAGCTCAGTCGGGGAAGGGGGCTTACCTGGTACAACATAAAACACAAATTGAGTTTCAGCTTCGTAATAAAGCTCCAGGTAGAAATGCACCCGAGTCTGGAATCGAACCCAGTTCCCCCCCCCCCCTCTTGAAACTCGTGGAGAGGAACACGTCCTCCCTCTCTGCCGCCCGTCACGGGTGTGCTGGGTCGCAAATCCACTGCTGGATGAGAGCCTGCCCACGTTGGCCGTGGTGGTTATTTGACCATACTTCACCACGCTGGTGCGTGCGGCTGTGCGCGTAGACGTCGTGGTGGTTATTTGACCATACTTCACCACGCTGGTGCGTGCGGCTGTGCGCGTAGACGTCGTGGTGGTTATTTGACCATACTTCACCACGCTGGTGCGTGCGGCTGTGCGTGTAGACGTCGTGGTGGTTATTTGACCATACTTCACCACGCTGGTGCGTGCGGGCCGGTGAAAGGTGGCTGTGCGCGTAGACGCCGTGGGGGAGGGAGGGGGCGCGCGGGGGGTGGGGGTGTATCGAAGTACGGTACAACAACGATCATAGCCGCCTCCAGCGACACGTGTTCTGTGCAAAGGTGGGGGGCGTCCTTCCAGCAGAGCGCCGTCCAGGCTCGGGAACCCAGGTTCGCTCCCGTGCTGTGGCGGGACGATGGGGAGAACACCATCGCTAAAGTCGGTGGTGAGTTTTGTTTGTTGTTGTTGTTTTCACGCGGACTTAAGTTGCGACGTGATTGTCAACGGGTTCTTTCGTCCGCGGGGAAGAAAGAGAAGCCGAGGCTGTACGATCTAGCAACGCGAGGCGGTCGGGGGGGGGGGGGTACGCAGATCTTCAAACTAAAGCGGAAGTATTACATCTCACACAGGGTCGTCGAAGCGCGTGGACCCCCAAACCGCGGGGCCCGGGGCAGTCGTACCCCCTGATTCGCCACCGTACCCGCGATGTCACAAACCCCAATGGTGTTTCAAATGAGTGCAGCAGCCCTCACACGGATTATGTCTTGCTGGCGAATGTGGTGCCATCCCCCCCCCCTCCCCGCCTCTCTCTGAAAATGAGTGAAGAACACTGCTCTGAGCGTGTAACGTGGATTCTAATTGTGGGAGGGGCAAGAAAAACCCGGAGGGCCCGGAGAAAAATCCACGCAACCGCTTCGGGGAGAGAGCGAGAGAGACACGCAAACGGGAAATATACAGCAGGCGTCAGGGTCGGGATCGAACCAACGGACCTCCTGCAACACCAGACGAGCTCGCCTGATCCCTGATCATCCCCACTGACAATTTGCTAATTCCCCACCCTTAACTGAATGTTTCCTGCGCGTATCGTAGAGAAACCATTGGCCGTGTCGTGCGCACGTACGTACGCGTGTATGTTGCACGTGTGTAAGTTCCATGTATGGATGTTGAACTTCTGTCGCAGCGTGTGGAGCCAAGCGCGCTAATCGTTGGCGTTGTTCACATCCCATTCCACCGCCCTCTGATACTGGGGACGTTTTGAAAATTCTCGATGTGGGTCTCACGCGACTCGTGCCAATTTCGCGTCGTTTGCTATTCTGCCTCCACACCCAACTCCCAACTCCATCTCTCTTCTCCACACCCACCGCCGCCGCTCGTTCGCCCACCGTGCATCTCCCACGGATAGCCACGCGAGTTGTCTGGAGTGAAACATTGTGAGATGCGCATCCGGATGAGAGAGGGGGCGGGGGATGTCTGCAGCTCACACCGAGGTTTGGGAAATTGAGTCCCGGTGATAATTGGAGTGGCAGGATGGTGACGCGGTGGTGAGAATCGCGCCGTACACAGGCGACAAGGGCCTTGGTTCGGTTCCCGACGCAGCCATATCTCTTGGGTGGAGTTTGTATTTTCTCCCCTTATTCTGTATGGGTTTCTTTCCGGCTTATCCTGTTTCCGCCCATAGCTAAACAAAACAATACGAGGCCATTGGTATTGGCCAGGCCTGAAAATTACTCCGTTGCAATAAGGAGCCCAGTTCGGTTCAAGAGGCCTCAGGTATTTTTTTTAATCACTGAAATCGCACGCAATTATCCGCGTGAAGACGCGCAGAGACGACGGCGTTGAGGCTGCGTGGCTGCGTTGTGTTGCGTTGCCCACCGCCAGCGCGAGCATTGAGCGCGTCCGTAGCCCCGCGCCTGGCCCTGCTTGGCCCCGAGCAAGATTCAGGCGCCTTGTGAGGCCAACTTAGCACGGTTTGGTTCAGGCATAACAAATCGCCAGCAGGAAAACCACCCGTACCGTGATGGTCTGGTACTAGCACGGCTCGGATGTGCCAGTGGAAAAGGAATTTGATAGGCATTGTTTAATTGTGCAGAGAAGGTGGACTTCCTACATGCCTATCTGAGCACACGATTTTGGCAAGATGGATTTATTTTCGCTGATCCGGTTGAGTGAACACTGAGAAACGCCGTCCCGCTCGATTTGAAAACAAAAACAATTATCCAAAATAATTCGACACGCTTGACCGAGCCACACTCGCCAGCCGGCCCCACGTGGTCCCAGCGCCAGAGCGAGCAGCTGGCAATATGAAGGGCACCGAGATGGCTAGGAGATGTTCACGACCTCGTCTGGTCTACAGGAGGTCGTGGGTTCGATCCCGGCCCTGACGCCTGCTGCTGTATATTTGGAGTTTGCGGTGTCTCTCTCTCTCTCCCCGTGGTCGCGTGGATTTTTCTCCGCGTCTTCCGGGGTTTCCCTCCACATTTAGAATCAACATCACACGATGATGACGATGATGAGCCACTTCGTTGAGCTATCATTTATGGCCAGGTCCTTCTGAAAAAAGAGCTACACAACTCAGTGGGTCTTACCTGGTAAAATATAGTTTAGTTTTTAGGTCACGAGTTAAACTTCCTAGTTGGGGGGGGGGGGGGGGAATTAACTCAGCCCATCATCCCTCCGGGGTTGATAAAACGAGTACCACTCTGTGGGGAAATCAACGATGGTTGCCCTTTGAATATACTCTTGTCCTCGCCATAAGAATGTGGAATTTCCACCACTGCCTCTGCAGAGCTGTACACAGCTGAGCACCACCAATGCCAGCAAGGGCATCACTTTGACTCTACGGTACCTGAAACCCTCCTACGCAAAAGCCCCAGAAGCCCTCTATTTTGTCCCGAGTCCCATCGGCGGAGTGCGACATCGCTTCCCACGTCTCCAGCAGCAATCCGACGAGTGTCACCAATCGGCGTCGCGCTCCCTACTCAGGGATTTATGAGTCGGCGTCACGTGCCCTCCTCCTGCGGGGCCGCGCAAAGTGGGTCACACAAACGGAGCGGATGAATCTGAGGCTATTCAGATTGGGCCAGAACTGATGGGTATTGCCAGGTGGAACAGGAATATTCCAGGAAGGTGCAGTTATTGCTGTGGGGAGATGTTGGCTACCTCGGCTGGTATACAGGAAGTCGTGGGTTCGATCCCGACCCTGACGCCTGCTGTATATTTCTAGTTTGCGTGTCTCTCTCTCCATGGTCGTGTGAATTTTTCTCCGGGCCCGCCGGTAAATTTCCACGTGATAAGCCACTTAGTTGAGCTACCATTTGTGATAGTCGGGTGGCTTCTGAAAAATAACTCTTTAGCTCAGTGTTCAAATAATAAATAGAACGTTGTCCGTGGGCATTCGCAGCGAAGCTCGTGACCATTTCACGCCACGA